TGATCATAAGCCAATGGATGGCAGCTACACTGAAACAGTTGATGGACTCTTGTGCGTAACTTCTGGTAACTTCAATGTAAATTCCATCTGCCGGGCATTTTGGCTTTTATTGAACCAAGCTGTTTCAAAATCACATGTTATATCGTAAAATATAAGGATCAATACGAAGTCTAATTCGAAATGTTTTGGAAGGAAGCAGTCGTGGTCTGTACCAATGTACACGTACTATCCTAGGCTACAGTCTCAGCGGGACATATTAAGTTCCGAGCAGTGACGTGGCAGAAGTTTTTCCTCTTGCACTCTACGAGAAGTCATTCCGGCTTAACCAACATTTTATTCATTCACATATCCTTTAAATGTAAAGGTGTCCCTATTCCATGAAGGGTTATGAGGGAGTGGATTTATAGATCACATTTTCTTGACATCGGTACTAACTGGAGGTGAGTGGTCAGCTTCACGCCTTGGCCGCTTTATCCTCGGGGAAAGACCCCAGAGCTAGTGAGGACAACGTGAAGAAGAGAAAATTCTTGACCCTACCGGGACTCGAAATCCGACCCTTAGGTCCTCCAGCCCGTAGCCAGTCGTTATATCGACTGCGCTACCCCAGTTTCCCGTTTTTCACTGATAAAAATGGCCGAAATATCTCTTTAATTGTTCACTCCAACGAAATTTCTAGTAGGTACTACGCTCGGCTCTTCACTGGAGCAACGTATAACCTCGCCGATGTTTTCGTGGTTCTTCCGAACTTCCCCATTCCAGAGGAAATGCTCTAAAACATATTAAAATAGGCATCGAGCGCCTCCTTCTGCAACTTTATGAATTTTCATGGACAATAATCCTTCCGCTCGAAATCTTAAGCCTGCGCAGAACTTATCCAGTGGAAGACTGTGAATCACTATTTAGGTTTGTCATTACGTGTAGCATACCAGTTAGGGGCAGTCTGTTCGAGCACCACGCAGGAAGAGTATGTACGCAGGCGGGTGCATTTAGAATAAAGAAGGTTGCATCCTGATGGTTCCCTAGGATATTATCTTGTTTCTCTTTTATGTCAGGTTCGCCCTAGAGTGTTGCATAAAAATGTTTTCACGAACAAATTCCGTCACTCATTCATTCATGAAGCTGAGGCCTGCTTCAGAAGCCGCCAATTGCGTAGCTACTCAAGAAATTCCCAGCATTTTATGGAACATTGAGCGACATCAATGTAATACATAACATCCCATCCTACCTCTCTAAGATCCGTTTTAAAATTGTTCACTCATCTACGTCTTGGTCTTCCTAGTGATCTCTTTTCTTCTGATTTTCCAACCAATATACTATATGTATTCCTCTTCTCCACTCATTCGTGCTACACGCTCTGCCCATCTTATCCTCCTTGACTTGATCATTCTAATTATATTTGGAGAAGAGTACAAGTTATGAAGCTCCTCATTATGCAGTTTCCTCCAACCTCTCGTCACTTCGACTCTCTTTGGTCCAAATATTCTCCTGAACATACTCTTCTCAAACACCCTCAGTCTACATTCCTCCCTTAATGTCATATACCAAGTTTCACATCCATACAAAACCACAGGCAAAATTACAGTTTCAAAATTTTATGTTTTCGGACAGCAGGCGAGAAGACAAAAGTTTCTGGACTCAATGGTAACAAGCATTACCCTAATTCAATCTCCTCTTGATTTCCTCCTGAAAGAGGTTCTGATTTATTACAGTCTTTCTCAAATATCTGAATTGTGCCACATTTTCAAAACATCTGTTAGGTTTCTTTATGTTCTGATTTTGCCCTGCATTCTTGTGACGAGACAGCAACATATACTTAGTTTCCTCTGTGTTTGCTTCTACACCAACCTTCCTATTAGCGTCAATTAAGGTTTGTGTGTTTTTCTTTATGGTATCTATATTATCACCCAGCAGAGTCACATCGTCAGCATAGACCAACAGCTGATGTGTCCCGTTTAATTTCAGTCACGCCTAGTTTCCCTGGACCTTCCTAGTGGCATATTCTAAAGCAAAGTTTAAAAGGAGCGGCGATAAAGCATCTCCTTATTTTAGATCAGAATAAGGAAATTTTCAGAAAAATATTTACCTATACGCACTTTACCATACGTTTCGATTAAACACATTTAAATCAGCTTAAACTAGTTTCATGGGTACCCCAAATTCTGTGAGAATATTGTACAATCCTTCCCACCTAACTGAATCGTAGGCTTTCTTGAAGTCTATGAATAGCTGATGTACGAGTACTGTCTCATTGTATTTCCTATTTTCCCCTGTATGCGAGGAATGAGAAAGATCTGATCAGTAGCTGCTCTGTTACGTCGAAACCCACACTGATGATCCACAAAAATTTCATCTCTGTATGGACTTAAACTTGAGAGAAGAATATTGGATAAAATTTTGTATGAAGTCCGTAACAGTCGGTTTTATCACCCTTCTTGTGAGCTGGTACAATAATAGACTCCTTCCACTGATCAGGCAATTCTTTCCTTATTTCAAATAAAATTCATTAACATATGGATCTTAGAAGTAATACTCGTATTTCACCTTCTGGTTGAATAAGTTCTGCCGGCTGAGCTGTATGTGTTTCTATCTACATAACATCAGTGAACCTATGTACATTCAATAACTGAGGGAAGTAGTTCTTCCACATATTCAAAATGTTCTGGAAGTCTGCTAATATTCCTGTTCTTACTGTTTGTTGCAAGTTTATTAATTTTGTCTTTCAGATATTCCATCTTTTTATTCCTCAAACAACTGCTGGTTTCACGTCTTGTATTGTNGCCGGTCTCTTTCTCTTATGTCCTTTATCCAAGGAATCTATCCATTTCCGAGGCTTCTTGTGATCTTTAGTGACAAACTTGTTTTTACGGTGAGTAATTTGTAGCCCCATGCCCAACCCCCAAGCTGGAGAACCACCCCTTGTCGGCTGTCCGCGGCTTCTTATTCAATATATTCGCAGCTACCCTCCGTTTCTATAGGCCGCCTTCTCCATCCGCAACCTGAGAACGCGTCATGCCGCGGTGACAAGGGACCCACCTAATATGGAACAAATTTCGTCACAAAAGGAAAATTTGGCCTACCATATAGCCCGTGATGTCTAAGGAACGAAATTACTGCACCCGTTCGAACACTGGGATCGGGGATTCAATCCAAGTCCCATTGATGTACGTCTGTGTTTCTTCTGTTTGTATTTTCATGTGTAGGTAGTCACCTTGCGAAGGGCTGATCCACCCGTCTATGAAGCCTTACCAACTATCTATGAGATCAATAATTTTCGGATCTATTCTGAAATAGGGCCAGGCTAGAGGACCTAATTATCCAAAGAAATAATAATAATGTCACGTGTATGAGAGACCATAGACGGGGTTTGGATTGGTTATTGGATTTACTGAACATTTACAGTTCGTAACTACAAGTAACTATAGCGCTATCGTTAATTCATACACTCTACAATTCACTACAGCACGCACTCATTCTCCTCAGTCCTCTTAGCTTCATCGGTTGTCGCATGGTAACGGCTTCCAATGTCGTAGCTTCTTCAGCATCCGTGTTCAGGTCCTTACTGGCCGACGACTATCTCACAATTAACGCAGTGCTCCAACTGACTAATTTCCAGGCAGCGGCTATCACACACCAACCTCAGACTACTCACTGTCGCCTCAAGAATCACTCGCAATCGCAGCTGCTCCTCGATATATAGACCAGGTACGAACCGCACAGAGAACGCCTCTCACAACAGTTCTTCTATTAGTGTATCACGTAGCTATCGTAGAGACCGCATAAAGGACGCCGCTTCCTAGTTATTCCATTTTTGGTTGTTAAAATATTTTGTGGCCATTACCTAGCAAAGGCCATTGTTTACAGAATCCTTACCTAGAAACGGCTGTTGTGTAGCTGCTTATTTTGCTTTCGTTGCCTAGCAAAGTGTCTAACATATCACAGTAATAATAATGGACACACTTGCAAGTAGAGACACATTTTATAACAGTGACTTTGTAAACTAAATGTTCAGTATCAGTATTTTAACTTATTTTTGAGCCTATCTCACTCATAAAATGGAGTTATAGAGGCGATCCTGAATTTCTCACAGCTAATCAAACCACACAGAATGCGTACATGTGAACACCTACGAGAATTGCGTCAGTAAAACATTTAGTGAGGGTCTGTTTCGTCACAAGATATTTGCGTTTCATTCAGTCACACAGGCAAATATGGGTGCAGAACCTCAACATATAACACAACATCTTTCTCTCTCATACTTTTCAAATCAATATTCATAACATTCTCTAGTTCGAGCCCTGTGCACTTTCATTAGTAAATGCAGTGACATTACAACCTTTGAACTTCAAACATCCTGTCTTTTGAATTCATATGCAACCAACATAAGAAATTGTAATATCATATATAACAAGACGCATCGGGATATTTTTCCAAATTTCGTTAAAACTAAGTAGAAGACTGAACACAATTGATTTTATATCTGCAACATTTCTATTCGGTACCAGAACACTGCAACATATTTAATGTCTTCATAATGTGAAAATGCAACGAGGAGACAAACACACATGATTGCTAAGTCATGTACTCAAAAAACTGCGTTTATGATGCTTGCAGAATATGAAATAACATTTCAAATTTTTCTCCAGCCTTGACATCACCCACGTCACATATTTATAATTACAGAAGTTGTGCGCGGATTGCTTGGCCAGCCTACTGACTTCAGCTATAGCATGCTTTTCCGTGACCCACTTTTATGCGACGGTTACATTGGTAAAAAAAAAGGAAAGGAATTTTCAGGTATCAGTAACTCAGTTTAAGCGTTTCGTTTTAGAAACGCAGGTAGAAAGAGCCAAGACCTATGTGTGTAAAATGTAGCCCATGCGAGAATGAGCGCACACGTAATAAAAATGTGAACTGCTAGTCGGTAGACAGAGAGTCGGCCAGCCAATGGCTGGGCTTCTTCATACCACCACCAGAGGCCAGGTTGCGCTGACATGACGTGAATTGCGTCCCCCATCATATGCCTTAGCTGGCCTCATACCTGTGCATTGTACAATTGATAGCAGGAGGCAGCTGGACGCCAACAGTCCAATGTGATATTTGTTGCGGTGAAGTGATTGAGTTAGTGAATGTGCATCGGGTGTGTGATTGCTACCAAGAAGAACACTTTCATAACTTCGATTAAACACGATAAGGTGAGGGTACCATATGTACGGTTAGGAAGATGCAGACGAGTTCAATTTCGAGGAATCCCAGTGAAGGGAGAGAGAGGGGCCGCTGTGGAGACTCCAATGACAGTATAAGCGCGTAACAAAAATGTAACAACATAGGCTCTCTATTAGACACTTATTCCCAACGTTACAGAATGTGAACCAAAATAACGGAATTTAAACACATTCTTCAGCATTAGTCATTTTTAGTAATGCATGAAAGCATATATGTTAGAATTTTTAAATAGATATGAGTAATACGGGTGTGACGAAAGGATTTAGATTGGTGTGAGTAGGTCTACATAACCTAGATCTTAATGGAGTAGATAAAGACATCCATATCATTCTACATTTCACTCGCACTGTTAAATAATTTGTTGTTTAATTGAGAATATAAATCCGTCAATTATGAATGTTCTGTGTGTAGTTCCGGAAAGAGATGAAAGCACTTTGACGAAATGTCAGTTGCAGTTTATATACCGATAGACACAAATGAGTGCAAGAGACATGGACGACAACCATTCCACTTCCTTGATTAGTCTTTGAGGTCAGGCGACTGGTTCCCTCTTCATTCACACCTTGTTCTCAATGGAACCTGTGACGACCAGGGGCATGGCCATTGCACTCCAATCGTTTTCTTAGTACAGAAAAGCCTCCTACAAAATGCAGGGTTGTTTCCTATTTATTACGGATGAAATTGTAATATGCGTATTAATTTTGTTTCATATTCAGTCTTTTATTTTGATATAAATATGTCATATTATTTAATAATTCCAAAAATAGAAAGGAAGCATGTACGGGCATGTGTGTTTTGTCTTTAGTCTTCAGTGTTGACCTCAAATCGACGTTTTTCCATAGCTTTCCATAACTTAATAGTGCAATGGATCTAAAGAAATATTTTTGATAATAAATATAACGCAGATTAACAGCAATGAACTAGGTAAATAATTCATATATAGGGCAGATGCATATATTGCCAACATAAAGTTTTCAGTGAATTGATTCTAATATATTTCGATGAAAAATGTATGTCAGAAACACAAAGTGTATATATAGGGAATATGCCTACATTATCCTCATTTCCAAATGATATTCCAGAAGTCAAAATTTTCTATAAGCCTTTTCTGTAGAATACTAATCACCGGTTTCACTTGAGGTTACAGGTTACATTAGTCTCAAACGAATCAATGTCTGTAGGTCTGTATACAGACTTACAAATGCCTGTTAATTGACATAGCTACGATCTCCAGATATTATCAGAGCAATATTATAAAATCAAAAATCTTTGGAGGGGATTACACTCTGAAATGAAGAAAGTTCGAAAACATTAAGTGAAAATAACTCTGCTTTATGGCAGAGTTCACCAGATGGCGGCTGTCAGAGTGAAGTTGAATTCAAGTCTTTTTTCTTAATTTGAAGAGTCACAGCCGATCTTTATAACTGAAGAACAATATTTTCTAGGACGTGACACCATGCAGTCTTATAGAAGTTCATAGATATTTGAAAGGAACGTCGGTAAAGTATTTATAGTATTCAGGGACGCGAGAAAACCAAATATCGAATATTGGTCCCATAATTGTTATAAAATATTTTTAAAAACTTCAGTCTTTAATAATTTAGTAAGTGTAAAATCATTGTTACAATTTCATGACTTATGGTCCAAATGATTTTTTTTTCTGAGCAAGACCGGAACAAAAATTTTGTGCACCGAGAGAATTTAAGCAGAATTATTTTTATAATATATGTAGTGCATTTTAATATTACTTATCTAATCATTAATATAAAATTTAATCTAATTAACTAACTAAGCCATGGAACAGAGTCCTTCTTGAGGAGCTAGTAGTAGACAGACGAATAAAAAAATTGCCGGTTTCTGTGAAGGGGAATATTCATTACCGTATTCACAAGAACCTACCATTGGCTCCAATCTTTAATCCAATGAATTCCACTGCTCCAGCTTGAAACAACAGAATCCGATTCATACACTCTAACCCTATTTGTTCACGATTCATTTTAATTCATCTCTTCCCATCTGCGCCTAGGTTTGCCAAGAGGTTTTTTCCTCAAGATTTTCAAATCAAAACTCAATATGTATTGATTATTTCCCCTCTGTGATTTAATCGTCCAAATATTACTGACTGTCTAAAATACGAAGCTCCCCATTATGTACCGTTTACAGGTTCCAGTTACTTCCTCCCTCTCAAGTCCAAATAATCTCATAGGCACTATGTTCTGAAGATCCTTTACTGTGTCCTGTTCCCTTAATGACAGGGAGACCAGATTTCGCACTCATAAAGAATAGTAGGTAAAATTAGCTTTATATATTTCAATCATTGGTTGTTTAGTCAGAAGAAGGGAATACGACAGAAGATTTTGAACTGAGTTGTAGTATGTATACCTTGAATTCAGTCAGCTCTTAATGTCTTCGTGGTTGCGCTTCTGATATATTTTCTAAGTACTTGAAGTGTGACACAAGTTGGAATAATAATAATAATAATAATAATAATAATAATAATAATTAGATTA